GGTATTGTGTTTTTTTTTTATAAAAGTGTGCATGTGTGTGTGTTTTATATTTTTGAAACATCGTCCTGATAATAAATATAATTTACTCAACTTTATGGTTGAAAAAAAAAAACAACTCAATGCATTTCACAGCCGTAAATAAATGTTGTGGGTATTGACTTGCAGTGTGTAAGTCAGCCAGCCAACTGGTGAGTCAGTATAACCTGCACTTACTGACTGTATCTGTTTTGCCACTGCCGTCACATGACGAATTGTATATTTTATGGTTATTTATAGAAAGTACGAAAATAATTCCAAACCCCCCTCCTCCACCCTCACCGGCCGTTCTCATTGACCTTTACCACAGTTTATTTTTCATCAAGCCTCGACTGACCTCAGCCGCATCAACATCTACAGTCTGTGCAATCAACCAACCAACCAACCAACCACCAACTGTCTGTGTGCCGTTGACTCTGTCATTGTCGGGCAATATACACGTCATCAATTTTGGGGTTTCCCCCTTCACCGCACCACCAGGCTTAAATGGTCGCATCAATGGAAGTGGCGTTTATTGATATTTGTATGTAATCAACAAGCCGACTTCAGTAGTTTTTTTTTTTTTTTTTTGCTGGCCAATTTTTGAATTTATTTAAAAAATCATTGCACTTTTATGTTGTTGTTGGTTTTTTGTTTCCGTTGCTGTTCTTGTTTTTTTTTTGTTCTCCCTTTGACCTTCGTTGGCAACCACTCGCAGTCCTTGCTGTGTATTTACAGCAAATGACCCAACCAAATGAATGGTAAACCACTCAAGCATGTTTATTATCTGTGGCTCGAACGAATTGACCGGAAATGAAATATTCACACAGCCACTCACTCACTTACACGCACACATACATAATACACACGCACAAAAATTTGCGGAGGTGTTAATAAATGGCAAAAACTTTCCCTGCCTTTGCCAATTGTAGGAGATTGTAGGGAGAGTATATTTTTAAAAATATGAAAAAAATTGTGAAAAACCTTATTAATAAAATCGGGGCAAAATCGGGGTTTACAAATTCGACCAAAAATGAAAAAGCCAAATTACAAAAAAAAGAAACACAAAAATCTAGACGGTGTTAACAACATGCAAAAAAATTGAACAAAAAAAATCCGACCAAAAAATCCACCCAAAAAATTCGACCAAAAAATCCGATCAAAAAAATTTAATCCAGAAAAAAAAATAATTTACGTAGAGCGCCAAAATTTAGCAGAGCAATTTGTATTGTGTCTAGGATGGTTGGTATTGAAAATGAGACATATCGGTCCACGTTTTGGTATAGTCCCCATATAACGGTACCTTCCGATATTCGTTATTTTGAAGATTTATGCCACATTTTTTCACGGATTTGTCTGAAAATTGGTATTTGTAGGTCATAACGGGTCCCACTTCGTGTGGCAAAACATTCCATGTATAGGTCCACGCTTTGGTATAGCCCCCATATAACGGTACCTTCCGATATTCGTTATTTTGAAGATTTATGCCACATTTTTTTCACGGATTTGTCTGAAAATTGGTATTTGTAGGTCATAATGGGTCCCAGTTCGTGTGGCGAATCATTGTAATTATAGGTCCCCATTTTGGAATAGACCCCATATAAGGGTACCTCCCGATTTTCGGCATTTTAATTTGTTTTTGCCACATTTCTTCGCGGATTTTTCTAGAAATCGGTATTTGTTGGTCTTAATGGATTCTAGCTCTTTTGGCAAAACACTGTATAGGTCCACGTTTTTGTATAGCCCCATATAGCCGTATTTCCCGATATTCGGTATTTTGATGATTTTTGGCACATTTTCCTATGAATATGTCTAAAAATTGGTATATGTGGATCATAGTGGGCTCTAATGTTTCCTTTACCCTAAGGTAGAGGGTATTGAACATTTGGCCTGGCCGAACTCAATGTTTTTTTACTTGTTCAAATTACAACAACACAAATTTTCCAGACGTAATTTAAAGAAATGTTTTTCCATTGTTGCCAACATCCGTTTATTGTTACCTAAAATGATTTTCCAAATTTTTATGGCATTTTGATGACATTTTCAAAAAAAAAAAAAAAACAATAACAAAAAAACGTGGCATAGAGATTATTTCATTTTTCTCGCCAGGAACTTATGACCAACTTACTGTAGCTGAAGCTTTTCGCAAGAATATGAATATGACGCAGCCCCAAAACTGTCCACTCGGTGATGGTATGCCATGAGTTGAGTTGAGACACAGTGACTCCAGGACGTTTCCGGTGGCCAACACTTTTATTAACAGAAGTAATTTTTATTTTATTTTTTCTTTTTACTGCTGGTGTTGGGGGTGGGGGGGGATTCGTATTTCAACATCCGGTTATGGTCTTTTATCATTTTATGTCTTGTTTTTTTTTTTTTTTTTTTTTTTGTTCTAGCTTTTCTTTTCGTGGAAATAATAAAATGAAGGACTAATGAAAGTTTAGCTGGTTTCGCGACAAGGAAGTTGTCATCACCAGTTTCCGAGTCTACATCATTTGGATCATATTTTTTCGCATTTCCATTACAGTTGGCGAAATTATCCGACGCTGTATTTTGAGTTTTTTTTTTGCATCCTGTTTAAAAGGATCATTCACAAAAAAAAAATGCCATCCTTTTGACATCAAACACCGTGCCCTGTCATAGTCATAATTGAGGTGTACATGAAATCCTTTTGTGAAATATTTTTCAGATTTTTTTTATTTCGTTTTTTTTTTTTCTTTGCAGGACTAGGTGTCCTTTGGCACGGCATATGTCAAGGGAATAAAGAATATTTTCGCTAGGAGCAAAGGCGGGAAGGTTGGGGAACTGAAAAAAAAAACAATTTTTTTCCAACGACCTTAAAAATGTTTTCAAGGATTACCAGGGGGGAATTCTGAAAAAGAAACCGAGAATTAGACCCAGGGATATTTTAAGACGGAATACCCATAGATTTAATTCAAAAAAAAAAAAAAAAAGAAAAAAACTGCAAACAACTTCAGACTGCCGTCATTTCTAATCCACTCGTCCGACAGCTATTAAAATTATTCCAGTGACAGCTCATTATATTCTTAATAAGGATACAAAAGCATTTTGTTCAGAATTTTCAAAAAAAAAATTATTTGAGGTGGAATTCAAGCGTGATAGGGTGATTTCTTTATATTTGGCTGGAAAACCACAAGTGGCTATCGTTAGAGCCCTCCTGCATTTAAATGTGAATAAATCTTTTGTGTCTCGTACCATCGCTCGGCACCGTGATACTGGTAGCGTAGCCCGACATATGTCCAGGAAGTGGGCGGATACAGCGGAAAACAGCAACATCAGCAGAAATGGTGCGAAAAGTAAAGAAGCGACTTGAGCGAAACTGAAAAATCGCAGTGGCCGAAAAATGGCTCGTTAGCTGAACATATGGCAAATATTCTATTCGGCAAATATTGAAAAAATGAGCTCGGGGTACAGCCATTGAAATTCCAAAAAGTGCAAGAAAGAGTGCAAGAAAATAGACTAAAAAAAAGCTAAAGACTTGCTTCTCTTGGCCGAAAGTGGTGAACTGCCGAATTTGGTTTTCTCTCTCTCCGATGGGAAAACATTCGTCGTCCTGCAGTTTGTAAACAAACAAAATCATCGTGTTTACTTCCCAAAGAGGTCAGCTGAAAATGTGCACCTTCGGTTGGCCACCAAAACTCAAGCGCCGGCCATGGTGATGGTGTGGGCCGCCATAACAGCCGATGGTCGCTTTTCGCTCGTATTTATCGATCGTGGCATTAGAATAAATGACGAATATTATTGCGAAAATATTATGGAGGGTGTACTAAAGCCTTGGACACGCAAACATTTTGGCCCCAGACCTTGGACATTCCAATAGGACTCCAGGCACCATCGCACTCAGCACGCGCCACCCAAGTATGGTTATTTCCAGCTCATAATGGCCACCAAAATCTTCGGATACCAATCCGTTGGACTATTGTGTCTGGCGTATTTTAGAAAGCAAGGTTGGAACTAAAAAATACCAAAGGGTCGATCACATCAAGCAAGCGCTTCGCCGGGAATGGGCCAAAATACCGTAGAGCAACCTTCGGGCAGCCTGTGACGCTTTCGAATTATGGCCAAAGGTGACAAATTCGAACAAATCTAAACTCATTCTAAAATTTGATGCTATTTCCGGCATTAGATGGAGTTCGGGAATGGGCAGTATCGGTCCACACCTGCTGGTACCTCCTCCGGAAAAGGTCAAAATTTGAGAAAAAGAAGAAGAAAATAATTTACTGCACAGAAAAAGAAAGTATAATCCTATTTTGCTCAAACTTTACAAATCCTTATATTTCCATGAGTGCTACATCAGATGCGAAAATGGACAATATCGATACACTTCATCAAGTATGTACCTCCCTCACAAAGGGTCAAAATTTTGAATAATTATAACTCTTATAAAAAAGGGGTGTAAGAGTCCGATTGTCTTCAAATTACATTTACCGCAATATTTTTTTTTTTAACCCATGGTCTATTGTGAAGATGGAATATATCGGTCCACTACTTCCGGTACCTCCCCCACAAAAGGTCAAAATATTGAATATCCATGTAGCTCATAAATCGCGAAACCATAATCCGATTCCATTCAGACTTTGCACATCTCAATATTTCCATCAACACAAGATCTGCTATAAAGGTGTTAGAGATCGGACCATTCCTTCTGGTACCTCTCCCACAAAGGGTCAACGTTTTGAATAACCAAAACCATTATAAAATCCGAAATAAGCATCCTGTTCTCTTCATATTTCACACAACCCATTATCTCTACAAACACAAGATCTGCTGGTCAACTCATTCGATCCCTTTGATTTGAAAGTTATTTTTTTCACCACACCGCCACCACCCTCGTATGTGTGTGTGTGTTTTTTTCAATATGAAATCTATTTTCATAGCAGAACAATGACAGCGGCTACTGTAGAATGAACTCATCCAACCGCAATGGGAAATATTTTAATTTCTATTTAAATGAGTCGGTATTTTCCGAGACATTGTGCGGAGCATTCTTCGTAACTGGTCATGGGTATTTAAAGAGATTTAGGTTACAAAGAACTGCATTACAGTTTCTGCCAGCGTTAACACAATGGGTAAGAAAGAAAGCCAGCTCGGCTGGCCCATTGCAATTTGGAAATAATTTCCATTCCATTCTTTTGTTCAGGTGATTTTTGGATTGCATCCTCCGCGCACAGCCCCCTGCCGGAATTTACGGTTGTTGGCGGCCATGACAGCGACAGCTCGCCGGTGTATGTCGGTCGTGCCGAACACAATGGTGAGGTGTTGGCTGCCAAAGTCATACCCAGCAAGGGATGTGCCTACGTGGCCTGGGGTGGCCAGGAACATGTGAAGTATCACTACGAGGTGCTGCGAGGACCCGGCTATAGCTGGGTCCAGGCCGAACATGGACAGGTGCCAGCGAATGCTGTCTCACCCGGCCTAAGCGGTGATGGCGAACCGCTGTACGTGGGACGTGGTCACCACTGTGGCAGTTTGAGTGTCGGCAAAGTTCATCCCTCTCATGGTTGTCTCTATATACCGTATGGAGGCCAGGAGGTAGCCTTACATCGCTATGAAATTCTGGTGCGCAATCCCAGAGATAACTGGATGGCAGCCGGCCTGGATTATGCTCCAGCAAATAGCGTGGTTGCTGGCCATGACAGTGATGGCAGTGTCATCTATGTGGCTCGGTCGCAACATAACGGCCTATTGTTGCCGGCCAAATTTATTCCAGATCGCCGAGAGGCCTATGTGGCCAGTGATGGCAATGAAATCCGGAAATCTAGCATAGAGGTGCTGGCGGGTCACAACAACTATGCCTGGGTTCCGGTTTACAATGGCGCAATTCCACCGAACGCCATAGCCTCGGGGCATACACCGTCCCAGGAACCCATGTATATTGGAAGGGCGCATCACAGTGGCAGCCTGACACCAGGTTTGGTCCTAATCGATAATGATAGTGTTCTCATTCCCTATGGAGGTCGTGAGGTCTCTGTGCATCCATATGAGATTTTGACTAGAATTTAAGTAAGGATTCAAGATGTTGTTGTTGTTGTTATTTTTGTGGAAATTAATAAAAATTGGAAATCTTAGAGGCTGGATTTTTTCCTACGGAACTTTTTTGTAAATCATATTTTTATACCCTCCACCATAGTATGGAGGGTATTTGTCATTCCGTTTGTTACACCTCGAAATATACATTTTAGACCCCACAAATCAACGATTTATCAACGTCCGTCCGTCTATCCGTCCGTCCGTCCATCTGTGGAAATCACTCTTGCTTCCGAACGAAATGAAGTAAGTTGATAAAAATTTACTCAAATGTGTATTATGTCTGCAGGACTTTTGGTATTGAAAATGGCCTATGTAGGTCCACGTCATCGTATAGCCCCCATATAACTGTACCCCTCGATATTCGGTATTTTGATGATTTTAGCGCAATTATTTACCGGAATTGATTCAAATTTGGAATTTGAAATTCGTAATAGATACTACAGCCTAAGACAGAAAATGGTCCACGTCTTCCATTTGCCATTTTTGGCCATTTCGTTTCTGCTGATATTACTGTCTACTTCCGTGACTAAAGAATGAAAAATGATTAGTCTCTGATCATAGTAATTTATTTTTAATCATATTTTGCCAGATAAGTGCTTAAATACTGCTTGATTTGTTGTGCATTTCTTTTTTTTCTAAGCATAGCGGGAGATTTTGGAAAAAAATGACTTCTTGTTTATTTATTAAAATTGCGTGGAGGTGTAAACATATCTTCATTAAGGAGTCATAAAAAATTATTAAAAGGTGTCAGTTAATTTTATAATAATTCGCAATAAATAAATTAAAAGAATTGTTGATGTGAGAAACGCTGCAGCAGCATAACTGTGGCTTTCACTGAACATACCCCTCTCAAACTCTGTTCCTTGTCATTCTTCTCCCTTTGTTACTCTCTTCCTCTTATCAAATAATAATTTAAATGAATTGTTGATGTGAGAAACGCTGCGGCAGCATAACTGTGACTTTCACTGAACATACCCCTCTTAAACTCAGTTCCTTGTTATTCTTCTCCCCTTGTTACTCTCTTTCTCTTATCAAATAATAATTTAAAAGAATTGTAAATGTGAGGAAGGCTGCGGCAGCATAACTGTGGCTTTCACTGAACATACCCCTCTCAAATTCTGTTCCTTGTTATTCTTCTCCCTTTGTTACTCTCTTTCTCTTATACAATAATAATTTAAATGAATTTTTTATGTGAGAAACGCTGCGGCAGCATAATTGTGGCTTTCACTGAACATACCCCTCTTAAACTCTGTTCCTTGTTATTCTTCTCCCTTTGTTACTCTCTTTCTCTTATCAAATAATAATTTAAAAGAATTGTTGATGTGAGAAACGCTGCAGCAGCATAACTGTGGCTTTCACTGAACATACCCCTCTTAAACTCTGTTCCTTGTTATTCTTCTCCCTTTGTTACTCTCTTTCTCTTATCAAACATATTGTCGATAAACCGGTAGTGGTTAGCTAATACCGTAGTCATAAGCATAAATATGAATAGAGCAAGAATAACAACAATCCCATAACAGAGAGTAAGAAAGAGAGTCGTGATCTTTAAGAGACAGAGAATCTGAGATTAAAAGCAGCGGTGCTCAAAACCGTGTTCTAGAACATGAAGACAAAAAAGAGATTATTAAAGAGAAAATTAAAATTCTGTTTTTCTTTATATTTTACGGTTTTATTTAATTGTTTTTAAACACGAATGTTTACCAAAATAGTTTATAAAGCAAATGGATAAAAAATATTTGTATAAATAATGACTTATTACTGTTTTGTTATTGATTTAAATAAGCAAAGAGACATTTGACTGAAAAGAGATATTTCTCTTGAGCACCGCTGTTAAAAGCCAATGCACTCGTCCAACAGCTGCTACAATTATTCCAGTGACAGTTCATTATATTGTTTACAAGCGCACAAAAGCATTTTGGTGAGAATTTTCCCGAAAAAAAAATTATTTGTGATGGAATTCAGGCGTGATAGGGTGATTTCTTTATATTTGACTGGAAAATGACACAAGTGGCTATCGTTGGAGCACTCCAGCATTGAATTGTGTGAATAAATCTTTTGTGTCTCGTACCATCGCTCGTTACTGTGATACTGGTAGCGCAGCCCAAGCAAGTGGACGGAAGAAAACAGCGACATCAGCAGAAATGGTGCGAAAAGTAAAGAAACGACTTGATTGAAACCCGCATCGCAGTGGCCGAAAAATGGCTTGTGAGCTAAACATATCGCAATATTTCATTCGGCAAATATTGAAAAATGAGCTCGGGTTAAAGCTATTGAAATTCCAAAAAGTACCAGAACTTACACCGCACCGGAAAGAAAATAAACTCAAAAGAGCTAAAGAGTTGATTCGCTTGGCCGAAAGTGGTGAACTGCCAAATTTGGGTTTTTTCCGATTAGAAAACATTCGTTTGTCCAGCAGTTTGTAAACAAACAAAATGATCGTGTTTATCGTGCCAAAGGGGTCAGCTGAAAATGTGCACCTTCGGTTGGCCACCAGAACTCAAGTGCGGGTGATGGTGTGCGACGCCATAATAATCGTTGGTCGCTCTCCGCTCATATTAATCAACTGTGGCATCATAATAAATGCCGAATATTATGGCGAAAATATTCTGGAGGGTGTATTAAAGCCTTGGCCACACCAAAAATTTTGGCCACAGACCTTGGACATTTCAACAGGACTCCAGGCACCATCGCCACCCAGAATAATTACAAAATGAGTTTCCTCGCTTCATTTCCAGCCACCAAAATCTCCGTTTACCAATCCGTGGGACTATTGTGTCCGAAGTATTTTGGAAAGCAAGGTGGGCACTAAAAAAATTCCAAAGTGTCGATCAGCTCAAGCTAGTGCTTCGCCGGGAATGGGCCAAAAACCCGCAGAGCAACATTCGGGCAGCGTATGACGATTTCATTGGCCGTTTGAAGGCCATAATTCGTGCCAGAGGTGATCAATTCGAACAAATCTAAACTTATTCTAACATTTGATGGTATTTCCGACATTTGAAAAAAAATAATATTATGGCGTTTGACTTTGTTGCCGATTTTTTATCTCATCCTGTATTGTAATTAGAAGAAGCATCAGTGCAAGAAACAAGCATAGAAGAACTTGCAAATTTGTCACTCCATTTTCATTTTGAACTTTAATAAATCCATGAGACATCGAAAAAACGTCTTTCTTTTCGAATTGAATATACATAAGCAGGAGGATAAGTAAAAAAACTAATATTACTCAAGGAATAATATTGCCGATCACTGGATTATAATTCGTGGGGAATATTCGACTACTAAGCGTAGCCCAATATATGTATTTGGTGTAAATTACGGCCTCTGGATCATCGCTTTTAACATTTGATGGAAAGCAGTGTCATTTATATTTTGGAGAACATTGTTTGTGGAGCAAGTATTAAAAACAATTGAGAAACGATCAATTTCCCCTACTTTCGAGAAATGTCGTGTTCATTGGTGCATGACGGGTAAGAAGTTTAAGTTGTTTATTAACTCCTGAGAAAGAAGTCTGCTATAGCCATAGACGGTATGTTGAAATCGTTGCAAAGTGAATTCGTTGATGGCAGGGATTGGGTTGGCCAGGAATTGTGCCCTAGCTATCCAATTAAGAACTTAACCAACTAACCATAAATACTCATACAAAATTTCTGATAACCTAATTCCATAAAGAGTTAATTGCAAAAAAAGCCGGAGGTGAATGACCCACACCGTTCCTTAGTCCTACAATTCGAAAGGGGGTTTTCAGAACATTTTCTTCTGACAATACAGCTGGAAAGTTATCACTGTAGAGTCTAGCATAGAAAATTGCTTTCTAGTGACGATAATCAGAAGTAAGTTTATCATTCCGAACACGAATATCACTCAATTTTCATCTTCAATTAATTAATTTATTTTTTATTTCAAATAAACTTTTTACTGGAGAGTTAAGAACAGAAGTTTAGATAATTGAGGGACAACACGGTGATAGATTTAAAAGAAAGTATTGAAATAGGTTCCCAAATATGACTCTATGCATTGTTTCGGTATTTGCGGCTATATTTGGAACGTAAAAACGATTGGCGGCGGCGACGGCGGCGTCTGCGACCCATTCCATCGTCCAAGTCGTCATAGTCGTAGGTATCGTTTTCTTCGGGTCCTTCTGTGGTGAAATTATCATTTTCCATGCCATTATATGGGGTACGATGGTCCTCCTTCCAGTCATCGGAAATATCAGAGTCGAAATCATCTCCAACATCGGCACCATAATCCATCCATGGAAATTGCATTGGCACTTGCCAATTGACAAATTGCTGTTGTGGATAGTTGTAGGTGTTGGCTCCACTATAGATGCTGTTGAAGCAGTGGCCACATTGCGGCGGAATGCCCTGGTGCAATATGTAGATGTATGGCAAACGCAGGCAGTGTTGGCAATTAGGTTGTTGGTTGGTTGGACCTCCACAGGCTATATATGGCCATGTCGGTACATAGGAACATCTGGGAGCTGGCGGTCTGCTAGAATATCGTCTTCTGGGATTTAGGGGAAAATATTTCACCGTTTGATAACACCGTCCACCATAGTTCCCATCATCATCATCAAAATAATCCTGGAAATCTGGATTGGAATCACAGACAGTTACCTGGCGGGCTTCCATGACACGACTCTTACACTGCTTACCGCAGACGCGATGCTGTCTGCGATGGCAGCGTCGAGATGCCGTCGAGAACTGCTGTTTGTGATCGCAATTCTGTGAGGATCTCACAATGATACAGCATGGCTCCGTATTGTGGTAGCCCAAACCGAACTTTCCGCCCACACGAGACGTTGTAGCGTTCTCATGCAAATCTACGACGTTGTTGTTGTTTAATGTTACATTGCCTCCAGAACTTTCGATTGTGTTAAGTATGTGGTTCGTCAGCCGAATTACGTTGGTTGTATTAAACGATTTGGCCGACGGATTGGACTGAGTATCGTTCACACCCTGCACCACATGGTCACCCTTGATCAAATCCGGACAGATTGGACATGCCTTTAGACAGGCAACATCAGCCTGACAGGCATTTTGGCATTTCTCCCGATTTTCGTGACACTCTTGGTAGTCGTGCACGGTGGGCTGATCATAGTTCTGCAATTGCGTCTGGATGACAATGGGATTCACGGGAATGGTGTGTTGAAGTGTTGTACTGTTGCTTTCATCCACGATCAGTTGCTTGTCTTGGGCAGCAATTGGCGAGCTGGCGACAAGTAGAAGTGTTAAAAAGGCGGCAAGTGTCTGACGATAGAAAAATATTTGAATGAATATGACGTTGCGTAACAGTTGCCAGATGTGGTGCACTTACCGGATATGCCATTCTGACAATTCTCTTATCTAGGCCAATTCGTTGAGGTCCAGGCCCAGGAGGCAAAATCAGATGTTAACGACTTTGCTAGCGACTTGTCGGAATTGAAATATTTTATGAATTAATATTTTGCAAAATTGCGAAATGGAATATGAACTTTCCACCCTCCGAGGCTAATATGCAACTAATCGCATGGTATAGACCTTCGATTGACTTATTTTTTTTTTTTTTTTGGTAATCTTATCGCCATACTGATAATGATTGGTAATTACCGATTTTTTTTTTTGGCAAATGGCAAATTTTTTTTGGCAAATTTGGCAAATTTTTTTTTTGTGGGGGAGGACGGGACTAGAAATTGCAGATAAGTACGACGTAGCATACTTGATGCATTCCACGCATAGACGATTACTAGCTGTATTTGATGCTAAAGGAGGACACAAGAAGTATTAGCAGAAAACAAGTAAAAAATACTGTAAGTTCGGACGGGCCGAACATTGAATACCCTCCAGAATTTGGAACAAATTTGGCAATTCTCAAAAACAAAAAAATCCGTTAAAAATTCTCTTAAAATCTTAAAAATACAATCGACCTGCATAGGTTACTTTTGTCATAAGCCTTTACAATATTCAAATTTGAAACTTGAAAAAATCATCAAAATACCGAATATCGGGAGGTACGGTTATATGGGGGCTATACGATGACGTGGACATGCACAGACAAATTTCTGTCATAGGCTGTAGTGTCCATTGCGAACTTCCACCACCAAATTTGAAACAATTCCGGTGAATAAAGTCGCTAATATCATCAAAATACCGAATATCGGGAGGTACCGGCTGTGTGAAGACGTTGGCCTTCACAGACAATTTTCTGTCTTAGGCTCTAGTATCCATTTCGAACTTCAAATACCGAATTTGAAACAATTCCGGTGAATAAAGTCGCTAATATCATCAAAATACCGAATATCGGGAGGTACGGTTATATGAGGCTATACGAAGATGTGGACCTGCTTTCTCGACCCTCGAAAGGCATTATTCGATTTGTTCCAAACGTGGTACATCGTAATATTATTTCACAACTTAGACCGAGTTCGGAGATGGGCAATATAGGTCCACTCTTTCTGGTAACTCCCCCACAAAAGGTCTAAATTTTCAAAAAAAAAAAAATAATATATTTTACTGCACAGAAAGAGAAAGGATGATCCGATTTTGCTCCAGCTTTGCAAATCCTAATATTTCCATGAGTGCTACATCGGGTGCGAAAATGGGCAATATCGGTGCACTCCGTTAAGTACATCCCCTCCAAAGTGTCAACATTTTGAATAAATATAACTCTCACAAAATGTGATGTAAGAGTCCGATTGTCCTCAAATTGCACACATCACAATATTTTTCTTAACCCTAGGTCTGGTGGGTAGATAGAATTCATTGGTCCACTCCTTCTGGTACCTCCCCCCACAAGGGGTTTAAATTCTGAATAAGCATGAGGCTCATAAAGCGCGAAGCTTACATCCGATTCCATTCAGACTTGGTACTTTTCAATATTTCCATCAACACAAGATCTGTTATAAAGTTGGTAGAGATCGGACCATTTCTTCTGGTACCTCCCCCACAAGAGGTCAAAGTTTGGAATAACCAAAACTAATATAAAATCCGAAATAAGCATCCGATTCTCTTCATATTACATAGATTCCATTATTTCTACTAACACATGATCTGCTGTGAAGATGGAGTATATCGGTCCACTCCTTCTGGTACCTCCCCCCACAAGGGGTTTAAATTCTGAATAACCATGAGGCTCATAAAACGCGAAGTTTACATCCGATTCCATTCAGACTTGGCACATCTCAATATTTCCATCAACACAAGATCTGCTATGAAAATGGGACACATCGGTCTACTCCTTCTGGTACCTCCCCCCAAAAAGGGTTAAAATTTTGAATATCCATGGGGCTCATAAAACGCGAAATTAAGATCCGATTGAATTCAGATTTGGTACATTTCAATGTTACTATCAATACAAGATCTGTTGTAAAGGTGGTAGAGATCGGATCATTTCTTCTGGTACCTCCCCCACAAGGGGTCAAAGTTTGGAATAACCAAAACGATTATAAAATCCGCAATAAGCATATGATTCTCTTCATATTTCACAAATCCCATTGTTTTTACTAATGCCAGATCTGTTGTGAAAATGGGACACATCGGTCTACTCCTTCTGGTACCTCCCCCCACAAAGGGTTAAAATTTTGAATATCCATGATGCTCATAAAATGCGAAATTAAGGTCCGATTCCATTCAGACTTGGTAAATTTCAATATTTTCATCAACGCAAGATCTGTTATAAAAGTGGTAGAGATCGGACCATTCCTTCTGGCACCTCCCCCACAAGGGGTCAAAGTTCTGAATATCCAAAATATTATAAAATCCGCAATAATCGGATGCTTATTTTTTAATAATTTTTTCAGGGTCCTTCACTCCCCCAAAACACTATGGAATATTCCACACTCAGAAACTATTCCTCAACGTCTTTCATGGACGCCACCCAGGGATGCCCGGCCACCCTTTGCTTTCTAAGAAGGTTTTTCTTTTCCCTTTTTTTTTTTGTTGCAACTATTTTCAGAGTCGATTTCCATTTATTTTATGATGTGTATTTATGTTAATATTAACCATAAAAATTATTTAGTTTTATTTTATTTCTTCTTGTCCAAACACTCTCATCAGCATCGTTCTTCGTTGGTTTCTTTTCAGGGGGTAAATAGAAAAGTTCCTCCATCCTCCGAATAGATCCCAAATAATTCTTCTGTGGAAGTTTGGTAAGCTCGTCATGTTTGTAGCCCCATAGAGGGAGAGGGAGAGAGAGAGAGTCTCAGAGAGAGACAGAAAGAAGGTCTTAAATTACATGTTGGGTACCAAAAGCGAGCACACAAAGCCAGCTCCGTAGCCACAACTTTTTTGTGTGATTCTTTTTTTTTTTGGCGATACGAATAGAACTAAAAGTTGGTTCCTTGCCCCTTTTGTTCCTGTCTTCGTCATATTTTATCAAAGTAAATAATAAGAAAATTTCATGCCACAACTATTGCCGGAGCATCGGCATCAGCCACATCTACAGAACTATGTACAATTTTACAATGCACAATGTGCAAAAGTATTATTGCAACAGCTTTAGGCTGTCATATTTTGTAACATCAGATCTTAAGGGACTTGATGCAAATGCAAATTGAAGGGGGGGGGAGGGCCGAAAGACTAAGAGAGAGAAAGAGGGAGCGAGCGAAAGGCAAAGTCAAGCAGACAGTGTGGCAGAAAAAATAACAAAATTGAATATCTACATAAGTCGTTTAAAAAATATTTTTAAAAAATCAAAATTCGTAGACAGGCTTTCAAAAAATAATTTTAAAAAATCAAAATTCGTAGACAGGCTTTCAAAAAATAATTTTAAAAAATCAAAATTCGTAGACAGGCTTTCAAAAAATAATTTTAAAAAATCCACGTTCGTAGATAGGCTTTGAAAAAATATTTTTAAAAAATCCACGTTCGTAGATAGGCTTACAAAAAATATTTTTAAAAAATCCACGTTCGTAGATAGGCTTACAAAAAATATTTTTAAAAAATCCACGTTCGTAGATAGGCTTACAAAAAATATTTTTAAAAAATCCACGTTCGTAGATAGGCTTACAAAAAATATTTTTAAAAAATCCACGTTCGTAGATAGGCTTTCAAAAAATATTTTTCAAAAATCCACGTTTGTAGATAGGCTTTCAAAAAATATTTTTAAAAAATCCACGTTCGTAGATAGGATTTCAAAAAATATTTTTAAAAAATCCACGTTCGTAGATAGACTTTAAAAAAATATTTAAAAAAAATCCACTTATATATATAGACTTTAAATAAATATTTTTAAAAAATCCACGATTATAGATAGACTTTAAAAAAATATTTTAAAAAATCCAAGTTTATATATAGACCTCCGAAAAATGTTTTTAAAAAATCCACGTTTATAGATAGACTTTAAAAAAATTTTTTTAAAAAATCCACGTTTATAGATAGACTTTAAAAAAATATTTTTAAAAAATCCACGTTTATAGATAGACTTTAAAAAAATATTTTAAAAAATCCAAGTTTATATATAGACCTCCGAAAAATGTTTTTAAAAAATCCACGTTTATAGATAGACTTTAAAAAAATATTTTTAAAAAATCCACGTTTATAGATAGACTTTAAAAAAATATTTTTAAAAAATCCACGTTCGTAGATAGGCTTTCAAAAAATATTTTTAAAAAATCCACGTTTATAGATAGACTTTAAAAAATATTTTTAAAAAATCCACGTTTATAGATAGACTTTAAAAAATATTTTTAAAAAATCCCCGTTTATAGATAGATTTTAAAAATATTTTTAAAAAATTCACGTTCATAGATAGGCTTTAAAAAAATGTTTTTAAAAAATCCACGTTTATAGATAGACTTAAAAAAATTAAAAATCCACGTTCGCAGATAGGCTTTAAAAAAATATTTTTAAAAAATCCACGTTTATAGATAGACTTTAAAAACTATTTTTAAAAAATCCACGTTTATTTTTTAAAAATCCACGTTTATATATAGACCTCTGAAAAATATTTTTAAAAAATCCACATTTATATATAGACCTCTGAAAAATATTTTTAAAAAATCCACGTTTATATATAGACCTCTGAAAAATATTTTTAAAAAATCCACGTTTATATATAGACCTCTGAAAAATATTTTTAAAAAATCCACGTTTATATATAGACCTCTGAAAAATATTTTTAAAAAAACCACGTTTATATATAGACCTCTGAAAAATATTTTTAAAAAATCCACGTTTATATATAGACCTCTGAAAAATATTTTTAAAAAATCCACGTTTACAGAAAAATATTTTTTAAAAAATCCACGTTTATATATAGACCTCTGAAAAATATTTTTTAAAAAATCCACGTTTATATATAGACCTCTGAAAAATATTTTTTAAAAAATCCACGTTTACAGAAAAATATTTTTTAAAAAATCCACGTTTATATATAGACCTCTGAAAAATATTTTTAAAAAATCCACGTTTACAGAAAAATATTTTTAAAAAATCCACGTTTACAGAAAAATATTTTTAAAAAATCCACGTTTACAGAAAAATATTTTTAAAAAATCCACGTTTACAGAAAAATATTTTTAAAAAAT